GAGCAGAGGGAAACAGCACAAGATCTGGACAGATGCTTCGCCTGGGGGCACAGGTGGGTGACGGACGTGCACGGGAGATGGTGAGGCCAGCCAACAGCGGCTGAGGGACAGTGCGGGCCAGGCTGTGCGGGACTGGGACCCTCTGCTCCGGCAGTGTTCCACAGACCGGTTTATTTTGGTTTGGCTGTTTGCACCGAAGCACCCGACTATCTCCACTGCGCTGACGGGTCACTGACACTGTGTCCTCCGCTCAGAAAGTGCCACCATGCCCCACCCCCTGCAGCGCTGCCCCTACAGTCAATGTCTAGAAATAAAAGGCATCTTTGTACGCCAACAATGACATGAGAGCAACCCCGTTTCTCTGCTCACCTTCTGTGCCCTCCCCTCAGGCTGCCACCTTGGCTCACCCCCGCCAGGCCTCAGGAATGTCACCCCCTAGGGGAGGCCACCCCCCATGGCCCAGCACCATTCCATTCCTTCCTGGCTGAGGGATGGAGGTGGGGTGGGAGACGGGCCCAGCGAGGAGGTGAGGTGGGCTGCGGTGAAGGTAGACGGAAGGGGGAGGGGAGGGGAGGCAGCCAGGCTGTGGGAGAAGCTGAGTCAGGAATGAGGGGCCTTAGAGCTGGGGCCAGACGAGATCCCAAGGGTGGCAAGCCTGGGACGAGTGGGCCCATATGGATCTGTGGGCTTGGCAGTCACCCCAGTCACCACCACCCTGGTGACAGGGCATGTTCTCTCCCGCTCGCCACTGCGCAGCCCGCCAGGGGGACCGGAGGGCAGAAGTTGTCTCTGGGACTTGTAAACTCAGTCCGCAAAGTAAAACCAAAGGCGTCTGTCAGTCGAAAGATATCAGTGAACCAAATGAAAGGGTGTCTGGGGAAAGCCACCGGCAGCAAACACAGCAGCCAGAAGGGACGTTCTTGAGTCAGCAAGGGAATCCTGGCAACCCATCTGGACAACCCACAGAGGGCACCCGGCGGAGCAGCAGCACCAGCCCTGCCCTGAGAGGAGCAGGAGGGTGGAAGCAGCAGAAGCTGCAGGAAGAGACGGGCTCTGCTCTCAGGCTGAGAGGACCGGGGGCCGACAGCCCCAGTGGGGGACAGGCCACCGAGGAAGCCCTGAGGACACGGGCGGAGCCTTAGACACCCCACAGCTTCGCTGGGGTCACTCTGTCCAGAGGCACCGTTGCTAAGGAAACAATCCAGAAGGCAGAGCCCTGAGGGGCACACGGACGGGGCTCACCAGCCCGGGGAAACTAGGGAACAAATCAGCGGTGAAAGTCTACGAAGAAAACCACATTTCCAGTGGTCTTTGTGGAACACAATCAAAATAGTACTCGGTGGGAAAATAACAGCTGCTCATAGGATGTGGGGTGGTTTTCATTGCCTTCCTTTATTCTCGTTTACGTTTTCATGAGTTTCCACAGTGAAAGGGGCCCAGCCGCTAATTAGGGAAAAGAGAGAGTCAGTGTTGTTTTTCAAGGCAGAGGCTAGAAACACTTGCTAGTGATAAAACATCCAAGGAAAGACGAGGCACTTGAGGTGGATGGATTTCCTGTTTCTAGATAAGTAACTGATTCAGCTGCCTTTGAGTATGGAAGGTTCTGGATAATGAGCCGAGTCTACACAGGGACAACACGCTTTTTCAAAAGTGCTAACGTTTCCTCAAAAGGCTAATCTATGAGCCCTGAAGAGGAAAGAAAGGAGGCAGTGAAGGAAAGCCGAGGACTCTGGGCCAGGGCAGCAAGCGGAGGGCCGGGGCTTCTCTGGGCTGGGACCTCATCCAGGACCCCCGCAGCCGGGCCCTTCCAGTGGGGCGGGCTGGCGTGCTGTTCGGCTGGGCAGGGGAAAGACCCTCCAGGGCTCCTTCAGGCAAGCAGACCCCCCGCCCCCGCCGTCACAGCTCCGTGTGTCTCCTTCGAGGCACGGCCTCAAAGTGCGGCGCCCAAGCCGGACTCACGCCCAGGACTAGGAGCTCCTGAGCGCAGATCCTGCAGAAGCCCCTGCTGGACAGGCAGGCCTCTGGGGCAGATCAGGACAACAGCTGGTCCGAGCGAGTGGAGAGCGGATGCCTGGTCACAGGGTCACAGGGCAGCGCCCTGAGCTGAGGCACGAACCGCCCCTGTGGGCTCCGTGTGTCTCCACCAGCCGGGCGGGGTGACGCGTGCGCGCGCCGCGCAGCAGACCAGCCGCTGTCACCTTAACAATGCTGGCCTGGCTCCGGGAATCCCGCCGCATGCGTGTGGGTGAAATTTCTGCTTGCGGCTAGACACCAGGCTGGTCTTTTGTGCCTGTTTTGTCAGTGCTGCCTCGTCACCTCCGTCCCGGCGTTCCATCAGGCTCCGCGAGGTCCTGCCGCGGGGTCTGGTTCCTGGGGGCCTCCCCAATTTCTCCCCACACCCAGGAGCCAGCCGGTGATGGGACGGGGGCCTTCCTGTGGGTGGGGCGGCGCCACCTGCTGGCCGGATCCCTAACTGCCGGCCCCGCACCGCTGTCCGAGGTCCTGACCCAAGCCCTGGCTGTCCCGAGCACCTGGCCACCTGCCACTTGGCCCTTTCCCAGCCCCTCTGCACCTCCGGAATCCCGGAGGGCGGGACATCTCTCGAGGCCGCTCTAGGGCTCTCTTTCCTTCTCCCAGCTCGGCTTCAGTGTACGTGCTGAGCCGACAGGGCCTGGGAGCCGGTGGCGTGACGCACACAAGCCGTGTCCACAGCAGGACACATCAGGACAGGGCAGGTGTCCACCAGCTGTCACCTGCACAAACAGCAAGAGAAGCAGGTGCAGGTCAACCACTGAAGCCAGTGGTTGCCGTCCAAGAACCTGGATGTTTTCTCATCAGCCTTGCAGAAGAGCGACGCACTTACCCGCCGACTGGGCTCTGCATGCAGCTGGAGGAGAGCGCGGTGCACAGATCCGTCCTGCTGGACGCGGCCGAGGTGGCCGGGCGTGTGCCGCACAGGGGCCTTCCCAGACCGGGGACCGCACAGGGCTGACCCTGCAGCGCCGTGTGTGGGAGCCAAGTGTGGGCCACGGCAGTGAGTGGTCTGAGTGTGCGCTGTGCAGCCACGCAGTGGGTCCCACGTGGCCGGGAGCGAGAGTGGGGACCTCTCTAGAAACTGCCATGGAGGAGCCCCAGGCAAGGCCAGGCCAGGCCAGCAAGGAGGAGCAGAACATCTGTAGGACGCCAAAAATCACGTGTGTGGGTGAGTGTGCCTCACTGTTGTTAAACGGGAGGGAGAAACTATTTAAAAAACCTTCAAACTGTTACTTCAGGAGAGGGACAGAACTCTCAGTCACGTCTTGGTCCGTGGCCCCGACTGGGACCCACACCGACACCTCACATAACCACGTGAGGCCCAGCGCAAGGTGGCACCCACACAGCCGGTGCTGACGGAGGGACCTGCCCTGGGTGGGCTGGGTGCCCGCGCTCCGAGGCAGGACTGCAGGTGAGTTCCGGCAGGTGTGCCCTGAGGACAAGACCTTATGGGACCCCAGGTGTCTGCGGGGACTTGGAGCAACGGGCCCTTGTCTGGGGCAGTGGGGGTGTTAACTGTGGCCACTGTGGGAGACAGATGGCAGCACCTCAGAGAGCTACACCACGTGGCCCGGCAAGTCCACTCCTGGGCGCAGGCACAGAGGGCACGGACGGGGACGTGACCGCACAACCCTGCATACAACGTGCCGGCCGCAGTGCTGCGGGAGCCGAGAGGCAGGAACAGCACATGCACACGCCTCAATGGACGGGAGGGTGACCGACACCTGGTCCCTCCTCGCAGCCACCAAGAGGAAGAAGGCGCTGCTGTGGCCGCAGATGAGCTGTGACTGCACAGCGCTCGGCCAGACACCACACACGAGGCTGCCGAGCACGGGAACCTGGCTCTGCGAGCCGTGCAGACCAGGCCGGTCTGTGGGGCCAGCGTCGTGGGTGCCAGGCGCAGGAGGGGCGGGGTCACCGCCGACCCCACACAGAAATGGTGGCTGCCAGCTGTGCGGGCTGTGCTGTCGACACAGGGTGGCCAGAGGATCGGGCGTGGTCCCCACACCTGCAGGGTCCCAGCCAGCTCCTCATACCACTCGGTAGGAAGATGAGGCCAGAAAGGGGGTGGTGGGGCCACACTGCCCTGCACCCAGACCCCTGGTGCGAAGACTCCCCCAGCTGCCCCACTGAGCACCCTCTGGCCCAGCTCTCACACCGCTGGACAGAGTGCAAGCCTGGGAGTCAGGGCCCTGGGGATGGCGCGGCAGCCGCACGGGAGCCATGGAGGCTGAGTCCCGCCCCTGCGCTGCCCAGTGTCAAGGACAGAGTGGGTGCGTGGCAGGCTGAACCTGCTTTGTCCAGGAGGAGTCGGGCTGTGGGGAGCATGGGGACAAAGGTGACCTGGAGTCCAGGGAGACAGTCAGGCCCCCCCCACCCCTCACCCCAGTCAGGGCCTCTGGGGGCAAGGGAGGAGGGTCCAGGGAGGGCAGGGGCAGGGAGGGAGCTGCCTGAGGACCCCCCCAGGGCAGTCTCGGGACCCCAAGTGACCCCGGCTGAGAGCCTGTGAGGCCCATGGGAGCCGAGCAGCCATGGGGCAGGGACACCGGGTGCCCAGCAAAGACAAGTGGAAAGTGAGCTCAGAGGCAGCCATGGCCCCTCGCCACTGCCCAGCCCACCCACATGCCCACCATGCCAGGGCCAGGATGGGCCACGGCGGCCAAAGGGCGTGGGCCAAGGGCTGGGCACTGTGTCGTGCCCTCAAGGGCTCGCATAATGTCAGGGGCCCACTGGGGGACATCTCCTGGCTGGGTGCAGACACCAGGCCCAGGAGGGCCTGACCTGAGACTCCAGCCCCCCGCAGCCTCGATGCCACAGGCGGTCCGCCGCGGCACACACGGCCCTTGTCACACAGGCACCTCACTGGAGAGGCCCCGAGGGAAGCACGTGGCCCCTGAGAAGCAGCAGACGCTGCACCCTGAAGCGCAAAGCCAGAGAGGACGAGTCCAGTGGCCTGAGGCTCTTACCTGGCCCCTGACGGGTGCTGGCGCCCCTCCTTGGCCTCTGTGGGCTGCCTGGCGTCCTGCAGCCTGGCCACAGGCTCCTTCTGCTGACCGCCATCACCACCTCCATGAGACCCGTCCACTGCACCTGCCGGGGGCCCTGAGGGGGGTGCCAGGCACTTGCTGGAAGCAGGGGCTTTGGGCTCCTGGCCGTCCAGGGTGTCTTCTGAGTGCAGGGGGGCTGGGGTGCCCGTGGGCAGTGTCTCCAGGGCAGGCCGGGCCTCCTCTGGTCTCTCGGGGGCACCCTTGGCACTGGCCTTGGCCACGCCCACAAAGGAGGCGCTGATGACGCCCCCCGGGCCGCACTTGTCCTGCAGACCCCCGGCCGTGTCCTCCCTGCCGCCCCCACAGCCTCCACAGCACACGCAGGAGTTAAGGAGACAGTTGGTGGCTGTGGTATTGAGTCCATGGGAGCCATCCTCTATCCCCCTGGCCACGGGCTCTGACGGGGAGAGGCCATTTCCGGAGCCTCCCGGGGCGGAGCTAGAACAGTCCAAGGAGGTGGGCGACTTGGGATTGAAGATGACGGTGGCGGAGAGCTTCATGCCCCCCGTCCGGTGGGCGATCGCCTCGGCCGTCTCGACGTCGTCCACGGTCACCTCCCAGCCGTCCAGGGGTGGCGGCGCGCCCAGGCAGCTGCAGGAGTTGGGGCCCGTGGCCCAGGGCTTGCCGCCTTCCACGTTGTTGTTCCTCACGTCCTCCTCCTCCTCCTCGGAGGTGCCGGGCACGCGGGCCCCTGCCTGCCCACCCTGCCCTCTCTCCCGGGGCTCAGCACGGGGGCCACCTGTCCACCCGGGCGGGCTGCCCGGGGCCTCTGCTGACCCGTCCACGTCATCCATGAAGAACACCCTTCCTTCCTCCTCCTCGCTGCCTGGCTGTAGCAGCCCGTCACTGGGGGAGGCCACGCCCCGGGGGCTGCCCTCGGCCCCTGGCCTGCGGGCAGGGGACTGACAGGCGCTGGGTGGGGACAGCAGGGAGGACATTGCGTCCCCAGCCCGGCACACCATGCGGTTGAGCTGTTCCAGCTCCTGGTCATCGTACTGCATGGAGCAGGCCAGCTCCGCCTCCGGGTCCTTGGCCTTGGTGGAGAGCAGCTCCTCGGGGGGCAGGGGCGCGGGGAAGGCGGGCGCCAGGGTGGGCGGCGCCGGCCCATCGGCCCGGATGGGGAATTCCACGTCTTGCGAGATGCAGAGGCTCCGTTCCAGCGCCTGCAGCTCGTCCTCGGTGAGGGTCTGCAGCAGGTCCCTGTGAGGGACGAGATGAAAGGAGTGAAGACCTGACGGCCGTACCGGCCCCCCAAGACTGGGCGGGGTGCCACCCGGTCCCGGGCACACGTTTCCTCACTGCAGAGTGAGGCACGGGGGCCACGAGTGGTTTCCTCCTGGACGCGGGGCTCTGAAACCTCGTGCTGTGAACGAGAAAGCTCTGGTCCTCGGGGACGTGGTAATTGCGTTAATAAGCACATTTAGGAGTGAAAAAGATGTGTTGGCTTCCACACAGGCCTTCACCCTTTCCTTGGGCAACCACCACAAACCCAGTCTGTGTGCCAGGCTCGCTCAGGAAGACAGGTGGCCCCCGCTCTGCGGGTCTGCCTCGGGAGAGGCAGAAAAACAAATATTTATGCGAGGGATGATCCAATTCCAGTAACACCAACTGCAACAGAGGAAAATGCTGGCCGGGGGCAGGGTGCCTGGCCTAGTCTGGGAGACGTCCTGGAGGAGGGCGCCCTGAACCAGGGAGCGGAGGCCCACTCCGTGCGGAGAGGAGCTCAGCCAGCCTGGGACCCGTGGCCCACGCGGAACCCTGGTGCTGTCATGGACGAGCACGCAGGAAGGAGCGCCCAGCCTGTGGGTCGGGCCGCCGTAGCCCGCACCGCCCAGTCCACGGCCCATCCCACAGGGCCGTGGGGAACCACGAGGGCTGGCGCCAGGCCAGCAGCCAGGGTGCTGCGCTGAAGGTCGGCACATTACTGTTCAGGCACAAAGGCCTGGTCCCCTGGGGGAGGATAGGCACAGAACTGCTGAGGGGCTCTGACGTCACGATCCAGCTGCTAGGCCAAGGCCAAGGCTCCAGCAGAAGAGGGCGAGGAGCTGCACCACACCCGACCGGACAGAAAAAGAGGGCGGGGCAAACGCTGCCCCCCCGACCCGCCCCCACCTTCTCCCCCCTACCTTATCTTCCGCAGCAGTGTGTGGAAGGGCCGGAACAGCTCGGACATGTCCTCCACCTTGCGGTCCAAATTCAGGGGTCCGTCTGAGTAGACCACGAGGCCACTGCATTCAAGACAAAAAAGCTGGCCTGGCTTTGGCCCTGTGCGTGGGGCCTGGGAGAACCCAGACCATACCTGTGGCCTCCACAGCCACCTTGAACTCTGCCTCGTGGCCAGAACGTAAGTTAGTTTAGGAAAAAGCAGCAGGAGCTGCCACGCAGATGGTACCATGTTCGATTAGCCCGTGGTCATTGGAAGGACCACAAATCAACCACCACACACGTGTGCGTGCAGCATGGCGACGGCATCGGTCAGCACAAGGCTGTCACTGAGAGCTGCCCCCGGGGGACGAAACACATGCTTTGTGTCTATTTCACTGGCCATCTGGACAGAGGTTCGGGAGAACGAGGTCTGGAAGCATCTGCCCCCAAACAGAAGTCGAGCCACAGTCCCACTTGGGGCAGCAGGCAGCCCCTGTCCACTGCGCTGGACACAGAAAGAAGCCTGACCCCGGCTTCCCCCCAACCCCCTGCGACCTTGGGTGCCTATGCTGGGCCCTGCCCGGGTCCTGGTGGGATCCGGGATGAGCATCTTGGGGACACTTTGCAGACAGTGAGACCTCACAGCGGCGCTCTCCCGGCGACCCCCCACCCACCTCCACAGCACTCAGGCCACCAGTCCCGTTGCCCGGTCCACGCCCCACACCCAGGCACTGCCCTGTGTCGGACACATTCTGGCCGTGGCCTCCCAGCTCCCGGCCCCCACCAGCTCTGATGATCCCCTCGCAGCCCCTCCCTGCCAGCCCCCCTGAACCACGGGAGCTCTGTGCTTTGTGCTCCCTGGCCTTTCCCAGGTCGTCCCCAAGCCCCTGGGCCCCTCCCAGAAGTCTGGCCCATGCCCGTCCCCCTCCCAGACAGGACAACAGCCAGCCTCCTGTCATGGCCCAGGCAGCATGGCCTTCTCCCTCAGGCATCCTTGGGCCTCGAGAGGCGCCCCTGCTCTGTGCTGGGACCCCACACCCCACTGGCTGCTCCTCCAGGGGCCAAGTCTGCAGGCGGAGTCGCGCCAGCCACGACGAGCCCCCCATACACTGCGCACAGCCCTGCCTGGCCCAGCCCGTGTCTCCAGAGGACCCTACTCTGGGGCCTCCCCACCTCCAGGGTCCAGACAGCTCAGGCCCCGGGTGTCCACATGCAAGCAGGGCAGCGGCCTCCACTCTCCGAGTGAGTGGGACCTCACCGCCAGCGTGGGTCCGGTCACTGCCGAGGGCGGGTCCTGCGTGTTCAGGAGCACACCCAGTCTGCGCAGTCAGGGGTGCGCAACGCTGAGCAGAAGGACTTCTTCCTCCCTGAACAAGAGCGGGTTTCCTGTGCAAAGCACATGGAGCCTCCCTTCTCTCCTGGGCCCCACGCGGGCAGCGAGGAGGCGTGAATGCGGCTACGGGCACAGCGGGGGGCACACCCTGCGTGGTGAGAAGCCGGCGGCCCCCCATCTTCGGGCTGTCTTCTCGCTGTTGGGGCCATGTCCCTGGAGGCTCTGAAGCTCTTCGTTGTGACCGAGCCCAAGTTGTCTCTTTCCCACCTGCCGCTCGTGCCCTCGGTGTCAAAGGGTCCTTGGCCAATCCGAGGATGTGGAAATTCACCTCCTGTGTCGGCCAGAGTTCAGTGAGGCAGACAGGCCCGTGGCCACAGACCCGGCTCGGCCAATGGCAGTGGTGACGAGAAGGACTGACTGCAAAGAGCTGAACAAAGCCGCCACAGACTGGAGGGTGGAAACCCAGACACGCTGGGCGTCGGCTCGTGATGCTGTTATCTAACACAGGTGCGCTGGCCGAGTGCATCCGCGCGCTTCAGGAGCGGCTCCCCTGAGGCAGTGTGAGCCCCTCGTGTCCCCGGGGTCCGGGACTCTGGCCCACCGCAGGGCTGGACGGGAACGCGGAGGCAACAGCAGAGACCACAGGTGCCACTGGGCGGCTCAGAGCGGGCAGGGCCGGCGCACCTAGGAAACCCGCCCAGGACCGCGGCGCGTGGTGGCAGTGCGGCTTGGGAGGCACGGCTGGGCCTGGACACGGCGCTCACCGGGCCTGACAGGACATGTGGCGGGGACAGAGGTGGGGAGCCCCCTGTCCCCACCGGCTGAGCTCAAAGCAGCTTTACTGTTTTGTTTTTTAAGGAAAGGCCCTAAAATACTTCTTCAAATGAGTTTGGCCTTAGAGAGCCATTGGCCTGGAAAGAAAACAATGGAACAAGGCACGCGGGTCGCAGCTGAGGGCACGGGGGCAGCCCGGGCTTCAAAGCCGGGCCCGAGCCCCAGGCTGCCTCAGCTGGTCCGCTGGAGACGCCCGGCCTTCACCCTGACATCTGCGTGTGAAGGGAGATGCTCGCGTTCTAGTAATGAAGGTGACCGTCACCTGAGAGGCGCTGACAGGCCGCCCGCCCGGCTCTTCCCCATTTGTGCACCGAGGAGAAAGGCGCCCGCAGGAAGCAGGCAGTCGTCTGGGAGCCTCCGTGGGCCTGGGGCGGCCGCAGGGCCCCGGCATCGGGCAGCCACTGTCCTCACTGCCGTTACCATGTTTTACTATGTATGTGCACCCGTGTTCTTGGCCCAGACTTTCAGAAAAAAACTTTCATTTTAATTATTTTAAAATATATTTTATTGATCATGCTATTATAGTTGTCCTGTTCTTCCTCCCTTTATTCCCCTCTACCCTGCACCCCACCACCACCCACATTCCCCCTGCTTAGTTCATGTCCATGGGTCGTACACAGAAGTTTTTTGGCTTCTCCATTTCCTATACTATTCTTTTTTTTTTTTTTTAGGATTTTACTCATTTATCTTTAGAGGGGAAGGGAAGGAGAGAGGAGGGAGAGAAACATCAATGTATGGTTGCCTCTGGTGTGTCCCCTGCTGGGAACTGGCCTGAAACCCAGGCATGTGCCCTGACTGGGAATTGAACAATGGCCCCTTAGTTCGCAGGCCCTCGCTCAATCCACTGAGCCACACCGGCCACGGCTCCTATACCATTCTTAACCTCCTCCTGTCTATTTTGTACTGACCATTTAAGCTTCTTATTTCCTGTATCTTTTCCCTTATTCTTTCCCTTCCCCTCCCCACTGATAACCCTCCATGTAATCTCCATTTCTGTGATTCTGTTCCTGTTCTGGTTGGTTGCTTAGTTTGTTTTTAGTTTTTATGTTCAGTTGTTGATAATTGTGAGTTTGTTATCATTTTACTGTGCATACTTTTAATTTTCTTTTTATGAGATAAGTCCCTTTAATATTTTGTATAATAAGGGCTTGGGGATAATGAACTCCTGGAACTTGACCTTATCTGGGAAGCACTTTATCTGCCCTTCCATTCTAAATGATACCTTTGCTGGATAGAGTCAGCTTGGACTTGGATCTTTTAATTCTTTAACTCCATGTTTACTTATATACAAAGCCAATTATCGTATTGCAAAGTGTCACTGTGCCTGCTACACCTTCTTGCTTTCTGGAGTCACAGGTACTATGTGAGCGTGAATAAAGGCGTTAAGTCCCCGTCCTGCCCAGGCCTCACAGGCCTCCAAGGTGTTTAACTCTCCAGAGTCTCAGGCCGAAAAGGCAGCTCTGGCCCGGCCCAGGGCAGGGTGGCCCTGCTGGCGCCCCTCCTCCTGCACTGGGCTAAGGGGCCCCTCTGCCCCAGCAGCTGCCCGCCCACAGCCTCACGCCGCTCCCACCACTGCACCCCCGCATCCCACAGGAGGGGCCCTGCGCTGGACCAGTGCTGGCCCCCACACCCACCGACAGTCCTGGGCCACCTTGCCAGCGCCCAGATCTCTGCCCGGCTCCACACCTGCGTGCCAGCTGCCCACGGGGCCCTCCCCAGCTGCCAGCCCACAGGCCCGTCTGCCCAGATCCCCATGGGCCACCCCATGCCCGTTCACCTGGCAGGAGGGGGTGGTCTCTGTTTGGGAGATGGCGGTGGCTGGGCAGCAGCAGGCCACGCCCAGAACACCTGGGCTCTGACCTGGGCTCTGACCTGCGCTCGGAGACTCTTTGTAAGTGGCTGTGGGCTTCCAGCCTTGGCATGTTCAAGGTCGAGCTCTGACCGCCCTGACCTCTCTGAGCCCACGAGACCACAAGGCTGACGGGAGCCCCCCACTCTCCTGGAGGTGCCCCCCACACACATTCCCCAGCTGCTACTCAACCTACCAGGCTCCGCCTCCCTGCCGGCCTCTGAGATGATTCCAGTGAGCCCATCACAGCCTCCCTCAGACCCAGGGGAACCGCCTCTTATTCCTCAGAGTCGCCCCACAGCCCCTCCTGGGTCGCTGCTCCCCACGGGTCCTCCTCCCCTGATCTCCCCTTTGGCCCCGGTGTCAGGTATCCTGTACTGTTTAGGGAGGGGGCTCCCACTCACCAAGGGGGCACGTGGCTCCCACCTGCCGAGGGACGGCAGCAGCACTTCCGGGCGACCGCTCTGGGTGGCTGAACGGTCGCCTCTGGGGGTGTGAGGGCCATCTCCGGGCCCCAGAAGGGCCCTCAGCCCGGGGCGCCCTGCCAGGTCTCCGCCGAAGGACCGCCCGGGCGGAGGGACACTTACCACACGATGGCCAGCCTGGGGATGGTGAACATGAGGGCCGGCTCGTAGTCGTCGATCATGTCCTGCGTCAGGTACCCGAAGTCCAGGGCCCTGGCCGCGGAAGGGGGCAGTGAGGCGGGCAGGCCCGTCCCCGCCCGTGTCCTGGGTCAGGTGGGAGGAGTCGGGGAGGCGGCCCGCTCGACCCGGCCCGAGACCTGGCCCCGCAGGTGGTCAGGAGGTGAGAGGCGACACGGGTGGGCAGCCCCCACGCCCACCGGCCCGATCCCAGCGCCAGGGCAGGCAGGTGGGCAGGGCTGCAGAGTGGGTGGCAGGCAGGACGGCCACGGAGTCCAATCAGAAAGCTAACCCGGCTGCAGGCTGCTCAGCCAGGGGACTGAAACGACCCAAACCACGTCCCCAAACAGGTGACTCCCGGGGACAGAGACCCTCCCGGTCAGTCCCTGCCCACAACGGGCAGGGCTTCTCCACGCCCCAGGAGCGGGCGCCAGGGCTCCCGGTGAAGGGCACTTCCTTCGTCTGACACTTGGTGGTCTGGAGTCTCTCTCAACACCCAAACACCGAGTGATGTGTCTTTAAAAAGGAAAAACTTATGAGGGGACAGCAGGCGATTTCAAAACTAACCCAACACCAGAGCGCTGGTCAAACATGAAAAATGTTCTAGGTAAAACCTCAGTCCCAAAGCCCATCCAGAAAATCTGATGCTGTGTCATGCTGAGAGCACCGGGCGTTTACCCCAGACCTGCTCGGTAGACGGGAGACCCAGCACGGGTCCCTCCGGGCCTGTGCAGGTGAGTGCAGCGGGGTGGGGAGACAAGGGGGCGACTGGGGGAGGTAGGGAGACCAGGGAGGGTGGGCGGGGAGTCCCAGCTCCTGGAGGCGGAGCCTGTGCAGCTCTGTGCTCTGTCCCAAGAACTTCCTATCACCTGAACTTCGACAGCAGGATAGGCCCTCTGGGCCCAGAGAAAAGGACAGAGTTGGGGGGCACAGGAGGGAGAGGGGGACATGCAGGATGAAGGACAAGGCCGGGGCGGGCCTCCCCGCTGGGGGCACCCCCCACCCAGACCAAGGGTGAGGCAGGAGCAGGCGCCGGCCGGCCGGTGTGTCCTCAGGACGAGGCACAGGCCCTGGACCGGGGCCGAGGCCGCTCACCTCTGCACCGTCTCGCAGAAGAGCACGATGACCTCCTGCTGCACGTAGTACTCCCTGGGGGACTTCACTGGCACCATGGCAGAGACGTAGCTGCAACACAGGGGGGCAGGGCGTGAGGGCTGCCCCGCGCCACAGCCCCGAGCAGAGGGACGGGGTCTCAGGTGAGACCGCCTGACAGCACCGCGTCAGCGCCCCCCGGGGCGGCCGCCTCGGTCCACGGCACCAGCTGGACAGCACGGTCCCTCAGGGCTGCGCCCTGGGGCCCCAGCCCCGCCCTCTCAGCCCTGCCCCTCCTGGACTGTCCCCACCCACCTCCCAATGTCACCAGCCCCAGCCAGTGAGCAAATGAACACACACTCAGGTGCGTGAGTAACCCCCTGAGCCCAGTCACCAGCTCAAAGGCGGCAGGCCCACGGCGATTTCCCCCCCGCAGGACCCGTCTGGTGCACCTGAGTGTGCCAGGGAGGGCGGTGGTGGGGGGTGGACAGCCAGGGCCCCTGCGTGCTGGGTCACCTACCCCTGTCTTCAGGATGCACCTCTACTCCCTGGAGAGGTGTCCCAGCCTCCCCGCCACAGCCCCACGCTGTCCCCCAGGGCGACAGCCCTCGGGCGGCTGCAGCCCCTCCCCGTCCAGCGTGCCCCCCAGAGCCGGTGCGTCCCTCCCCGCACGGCACGGCCACAACCCGACCCCTGCGCCGACCCCTGTGCCGACAGCTCGTGCGCGGCCCTCAGGTCACCTCAGCTCGAACTCGGCAAACAGGACGTCGAAGTGTCTGAGCGCCTCCCGCATCTTCTCCGTGTAGGTGTCCAGGTCCCGCAGCGCCTGGTCTCGGAGGGCGCCCCGCACGCCCTCCAGGCTGCGGGTCAGCTCCTTGGCCAGCGGGCGCATGGCCACGCTCTCCAGTTCCCGGTTCATGATGATGGAGCCGGCAGCCAGGCACTGTGGGCAGGAGGGGTGGCTCAGGGCGCTGGCTCTCGGGGGTCACAGGGCTGCGCCTGGTCCCTGTGGGGCCCCAGCCTCCCTGCCCCCCACGCTCCTCCGGCCTGCAGAGACCAGGATCCCCAACACAGCCAGCCGACCCGAGCAGGGCCGGTCCCCGTGAGAGGACTGTGGTCCCCAGAGCCAGGCACATGTGGAAAAGGCTGGGACGTGGCTGTCATCCCCAAGACCCCCCTAAGCCCCCTCTCCCAGGTATCCCCGCCTCACAGCCCCTCACTCGCTATGGGGATGGTGGGCAGGGAAGTGGGCCCCTGCCCCGGGCTTCTCTGAAGTCCAGAGCTGTCATGGCAGAGGCCACGGACGCTCTCCCTGGGGCCTGGACCCCAGAGGCAGGCAGGAGGGGAGGGCCGGTGGAGCCTCGGGTACGTGTGCCTGTCCCCTCCCACGCAGCCCACAGGAGCAGCCCAGGTGCTGAGCTCAGAGCCATGCTCCGGGGCTGAGCAGGGCTCACAGAGAAACAGTTGGATGATGCCAACGCCGGGCCCCGGGCCCCAGGCACACGGCTGCTACCTCGGCACCGAACCACAGCTGGCCGGCCAGGCTGTCGTGCCGGACCTCCTCGGGGAACTTGACCCAGAAGTCCCTGGGCGCGCGGTCCTGGGGGATGCACAGGTCCATGATCTGGCTGATGATGTTCAGCACGTGGTCCTGCAACAGACGGGAGGGCACTGCGGCCTGGCTGCGGCTGGCGGGGGCAGGCCGGGCGCTCACCGAGGTGGCGGCTCGTCCGCACTGGCCGCGCAGCTGCTACTGACGTGCGGACTCCAGCAGGATCCACAGTGAGGAGTGAAACTCTGCCTCCCACTGCCCTCCGCGCGCTCAGGGGGGTCACGTCAGGGCGAAGCCAAGGAGGGTCACCGTCGTTCGTGTGCAAAACTACACGCTCATTAGTGACGATGACCATTAACCGTTTCAAGTACTCACGACCTGCCTCTGCTTACCCAGGACTCGCCTAGAGCACCGGCCGCTGCGCACGTCACTCTGTGACCTCCTCTGCTCCCAGAGCGATGCTGTCACCTTGACGGCCCTCTCACCCAACCCTGCCGACCCACTGCACCCCCCAAAGCCCGGCTGCCGTGACTGGCCCCCCAAATCCCCACTGAGCACCCACATGTGAGATTCTCAGGACAGAGCTGAAGAAATGGCATGGTAAGGCAGACAGACACCAATCTGATCGTCACCGCCGACTTGCTGTGTCGCTGACACGGATGTTAGCCCGTGTCACCCGGGCGTGTGCACAGCACAGGCAGACAAGACCTGTGATGCCCCTCCCACTGCCCACAGACTGCACCCCAAAGCCTCATGCAGCAGCTACAGTCGTGGGGGCTCAGACGGACTTTCCGCAGGCTGGGCTCCTGGGCGCAGCTGTTGTCCCGGCCGAACCTCCCCGCACGCCTTGGTGGAGGGCACAGCTGTCCTCTTCGTTCAGGTCTGTCCCCTCCCAACCCCTCTGGGACCAGCAGATCAGCCAGGGCAACAAGTTAGGACACCAGCCAGAGGCGAGGGGCACCAGCCTGCGCCTGGAACACAGGGCCCCGGGCGCCCCTCACACCGGCTGTGAGCCTTGGACAGGCCACTCAGCCTGTGCTCCTGCCACCGCTGAAACAACTGTTTTGGATGCTGTGTATAAAAGGGCAACGAGATCGCTGTTACTGCACCTTAAATTACACTCCATTCTCTTCTTTTAAATCGTCCTGCTCTTTAAACATGTGCCACTTGTGCTGTAGAATTACAGAAACATTGAAATTTACTTTTTTCTTTAATTTGTCAAAGATCAATTCAATGCACATTCCCCACAGAAACCTGGGAGCAGTGGAAAGCAGAGCCCTGGGGGAGAGGTGCGGGGCCGGGGGGCATGTCTCCCGATTCTTATTCTGGGGGGGGGGTGCTGCTCCAGTCGATGAGCTCATCCTGTGTGCACACACACGGTTCTGTGCCCTGGGGCTGTCATTACTGTGGGGACGTGTCATCATAACCTCACAAGTCCACCTTGTCTCGGACAGCCACGTGAGGCGTGAGCAGGTGACCCTCCCGTGGACTGCCGTGTCCTCCTGCCGGGCATCTGCAGGGTCTCTGACTCTGCACCTCCATGAACGACCAGCAGTCGCTGCTGCGGTGCGTGACTCTGAAGTAGGGGCCGTTTCCCTGGGGTCCCCACACTGCTGGGGACGGCATGACGAGGCTGGGAATGTAAGCCGTGCTTCCAGGCTCCTACTGCAGTCTGCCAGACTGCTTCCCAGAAAGACTGCACCACCTGGCCCTCTCGCCCTTGGCCACTCCAGGTCTCCGCATCCCTCCCTCCCCCACGCCAGGGCTTGCCATGTGTTTCTGAGGAAGCGGACTTGAGAAAGCACCGTGCAGGGAAGCACGTCCTTCACGGGCACACTGCACTCTGCAGGAGACTCTGTGCCCCACGGAAGCGTCAGCCCAAGCAACACAAAGACGACACACAGCCGCCGCCAAGCGGCTCGGCTGTGAGCTCGCTCTGCAGGACTTCAGGGTGGGAAGGTCCCTTTCTCGTGATTCTGTAAAGTGGTGAACAGATGCTGGAAAGGAAGAGCAGTCGGTGCTGCGTAAATGGCGGCCCCCGTCCAGAGCCGGGGTCTGGAGAACAGGACACTGGTGCCCTGCCGTCCGCGGCACACGAGCCGCAGCGGCCCAGACGCGGAAGTGGCCCGAGTGTCCGCCCCCAGACAGACGGGTAAAGAAGGCGCAGTGAGTGCACACACGTGGACATGCCGCCCGGCCGTGAAAATAAACTCTCGCCCTTTGCCATACCACGGATGGACAAGGGTGGGTGTCGTGCCGAGTGAGATAAGTCATACGCGGAAAGACAAGTGCCACAGGATTTCACACAGGCGTGGAATCCGAAACAGAAAGTAAACAGACACAACAAAAGAGAAACAGACCCACAGACGCAGAGAACAGGCCGCAGTGGAAGCGGAGGGATGGGGAGGGGGAGACTGAAAAAGAAAAACCTGCCAGGGCTCGGAGCTCGGCGAGGCGGTGGTCTGGCCCCACGCTGGGCTGCCCGAGGGGTGTGCGTGGACCTGCTCCCCATGCCGCCTGGCCTGCCAGGGCATCAGCTGCCGAGGGCCAGGGCAGGGTCTTGCTTTTATTCACTGACAGGCCCCCAGCGCCCAGAGCTGCGCCCAACACAGAGTGAGCCTGGCGAAGACTGGCTGGGACGGACGGGACTTCGGGGCCCCCGCAAACACAGGGAGCACCAGGAACCAAACGTGCGCCCTTGAACTACAACAGGGGAGGAAAATGAGCCAGGCTTTCCGAGAGACGAGACTTGGGTGCCAGGCGACTGCAGAGGGGAGAGGAGCAAGCGACGGGAGCTGCGACCGCTCTGGTCACCACCTTGAGGGGACTTTCAGGTCACGGCACAGGCGGAGGTCGCCGGTGAACCCCGGAAAACTCCCTGGTGGAAGAGACAGAGCTGAGAGTCCAGGGAAACTGAGGCAGCTAGAATCCAGAGGAGAGGGCACTGCCCCAGGACAGCCCTCAAGATCGGGGCCCTGAGGGTTCAGCGGGCCGCAGGCCACACCGTGCTGGTGAGGACCGGGCAGTGGGCCTGAAGGACTGGAGCAAGCGGTCACCCGGGCATGGCCTCAGCAGTGGAAGACAATCGTCCCTCACTGCACCAAGCATCTGAACCCGCCCAGTGTCTCAGAAACAGGCCCAGAAGGGCCCAAGTGTTTCCAGGCGACCAAACTGCAGCTCAGGGAGGTTCACAGGAAGAAGAAAACACTCGGCTCCCAGCAAGGTCAAGTTCACACTGTCAGGAGCCCACGAAAAATCCCCAGGCCTACAAAGAATTAGGGGCATGGGTCGCGTGAAGAAAAGAGAAGCGACCAATCAAAACCAACCAACACCTGCTGCGGACACAGTGAGATCCCGCCGAGGTCGATAGTCCAGAAAGTTATAGGAGATGGTGACCAAGTGACAAAGGAGCCACATGGGGGTGGGGAGGAAAACCACTGTGTCTGTGTCCCACGGGAATGCCCCGGATGGATGCACCTCGGGTCAGACACTGGGGGGCGGGCACAAGGAGCTCGGAGACGAGGCGGCCGAATCCAAGTGAGTGCGCGAGGGAGCGGCAGTGACGGGGCAGGTCCCAGGCTCACAAACCCATCGCGCACGTCATTCGAGGCCCCGAAGGGGGAGGGAGGGGACAGAGCACATATTTGAAGGGATAAAGGCCAAATTTTTCCCAAATTCAATGGCAACTATAAACTCACAGATGCAAGAAGTTCAGTGAACCTGAAGCACAAGAAACACTGAGAAAAATACGCCAAATTGAAGCATGGTCAAATTGATCAAAACTAATAAAACGAGGAAATCTTACAAGTAGAAGGAGAGAAAAAGAGGTGTCACATGTTCTCCCTGGAAACAAGGCCAGTGGGAAGAGAGGGGAGGCTCTGGCTGGTGGCTGGTGTGGCTCGGCCGGCGGGGCGTCACCCCACAGGCTAACAGGCTGCGGGTTCAGTTCACGGACAGGGCACACGCCTGGGCTGTGGGTTCAGTCCCCAGTCGGGGCGGTTGGGGTGTACACAGGAGGCAACCAATCGATGTCCCCCCCCCTTCCTTTTCCTCTCTCTAAAATCAATATGTATGTCCTCAGGTGAGGATAAAAAAAGAGAGAGAAACAGAGAGAGAATGAAAAGAACACATTGAGGGGAGAATGGTTAACAACTTACAATTCTAAACCAAGCAAAAAAATCTTTCAAATTCAAGGCAAAGCCCTTCTCCATCCAAGCACAGGCTAAAAGAACTGCCGGCCAGCAAACCGGCACCGTGGGAAATGCCAAGAGCGTCTTTCGGCAGAAGGAGGCCGACACCGGGTGGGGACAGAGGTCGCCACGTGGCCGCACAATGCGGGCGGGCCCTCTGCCTGACACCAAACGAGGCCTGGGTCCCGCCCAGCCCAGGACGGCCTGACCGCGCTCACCTGGCAGGAGCGGAACTGGCTGACCAGCAGCGTGCACCGCTGTGGGTCCTTCCTCCCGTCCAGGCTGTCCAGTTCGGCGGCCACCTGGTTCAGCTCCTCATCGGCGTAGTAGAACTGGGCGAGCAGCTGCGGGTCTGTCCTCTGCGGAGACAGACATGGCGGGCGTGAGCCGGGCAGGAGGCAGGGCGGCCCGGGGATGGCCTGTTCCCAGGCCGTGAGGTGTGGCTGTGGCCCAGGGCCCTGACCCCCGGGCAGTGAGCAGAGTGGGCGCTCCCATCAGCTTTCTGCACAGGAATCTCTCTGCTGCTTGTCCCTGACACACCTGAGTCCCTCTACTTTACAACCTCAGGGCTGTGCCTGCTTCTCGGAGGCCGCCCAAGGCTGTGGGGCCCCAGAGAACAGTGTCTCTGTGCGGAAGCCAGATGGTCAGTCCCACAGCCCCCTGTGATAGGATGACCCACAAATAAGGGGCCTGGGGAGAGTGGGGTCCAGGGGCCCCAGGATGATGGCCACCTGACCGACATCCTGAGACCTAGCTCAGGCGCGGGCCCAGGTCACCACAGCCCACTGGGGTCCTTCCAGCCCCCAACCCCCCCACCTCCCTTCACACCGTGTGGGTGCGGGCACAGTGGGGGACGCTCGCACAGAAGATGCCACGTGGTGACTGAAACCAGGTGGGTGGGCCGAGCCTCCTTCATTTGTCCTGCGGCCCAGCCCACCTGCCGACACGTACGTACGTCTGGACCAGTGAGCAGGGCGGCGGGACTGAGTCTAGGGCACGGAGCAGAGACGCCTCCGGGAGGCCGGGTCTGCTTAAGGCGACACCAGCTGGGGCCACACCCGCACCTGTCCACAGGAGGGCTCGGGCAGGGCACGCGTTACAGACCTCAGGCCCAAACACACCGGCGCCCCGGTGACAGGCCCTGCTGTGCCAGCCACGGCCAGGGAGGCAGTGACGATTCGGGCTCAGGAAGGGCCAAGGGCAGCCATGGTGCCAGCTGCCCGTCGCTCGCTCCCACTGGACCCTGGTGGGGACTGAGCCCCCAGAGGGCTTCTCGCTCAGCCCCTCAAGAGGAAACTGGGACAGAGAGAGGTACAGTATGGTGCCATGGGGCCAGGTGTGCCTGGTGCACCCCCGCCACGCTGGTGACCTTCATCCTTCAACACACAGAGAGTGACGAGTCGGCAGAAACCTAACTGTAACCCTTCTAAGCTGCTCCCTGTGCACTTTGGAAAGCGGCCCCTCAGCAGAGGGGAGGCTGCGGGCTGCAGGCTGTGTGAGGGGGCAGGGGGGCTGCTGGCCACGCACGGGGTCTCCTTGGGGGGGACGACAACGTGTTAGAACTACACGGAGGGGCGGCCGCACCGCCCTGTGAAGGTACCAAACGCCACAGAACTGTCTGCTCTAAATGCAATAGTTCACATCGCATCTCCTGAATTCTCTTAGTTAAAACAAAGTAAAGCGAGGCTCGCTCCGGGGGGAAGCACCCGGCACAGTGCCGGGTCCGGGAGAAGCCCTCGGCCAGCACACGCTCGCTGGCTCCGACTTCCCCGAGACGAGCAGCGCCGAGTGGTCACTCTCTGACTGAGAGACTGGGGCCTGAGTGCGGCCTGTGCCACACAGTGACCAGTGAAGACGGGCCCAAAAGGGCGCAAAACACACACCTCTCAGGGAAAGCACATTTCGGCCACATCAGGTTTTCAGTCATGGAGGCGGCCACCTGGGTGACTCGGGAAGGACGGTGCTAACAGCCAGTGCTGACGAGCAAGTCCAGAGGGACCATCCCCTGCAGCAAACGAGATGACTCGGGCGCGTCTTACACAGCGGCCCTTTCGCCCCACCCTGCACCTCTCAAAGGAGAAGTCCCCAGAGGGAACCCAGGGGCGGCCTCCTCTGTGCCCCTCCTGTGCACGGTCTCTGGACACACCCTGTCTACGGCCACACCCAGGACCTGACCGGCTGCCATGCCCAGGAGCTCCGCTTTGAGCCCGAGTTCAGTAAGAAGCTCACTGCAGGGAGTTCACAGAAGTTAGGGGGACCGAGTTGTGGCGTCAGCCCCGGAGTTCCAAGACAAGGCTCTCTCCCTCTCCAGATCCAAGCAAAACAGTGGGACCTCTGGCTGGGGCCTTGGAAGGAAGTAAAACTGCAAAGCTCCCCCTCTAGGGGCAAGGCGCTGTCCTTCTTGCCACCAAAGACGTCTCACTGACCACGCAAGTCGGCTGGTGCTCCTCTGCGGAGCCAGAGAGGACTCACCGCTGGACGCGTCAAACACGGGCCACAGGAAGACACCCCACATCCCGCAGCCCCGGGAGCTGCCGGAGCGGTCAGCGCCCTGGTTCACCTTGTCCTCCCTGCACACCCACGCCTGCCTCCCGGCCGGTCACAGACCATCCGACTCCAGAAGCTTTGGAACTGCTGCTCCGGAGGGAGGCAGGCCCCAGCCTCACAGGCCACCCGGGCCCTGCAGAAGGCCTTTTCTCAACTATGCAAAAAAGTTCAATGGAGCCACAGCTGTTCTGACGTCCAGGAGCCCACCAAGCCGGCGCAGGCAGAACCCGCCCACCAGCTGCAGCCCCACCCACCCCCGCTCTCCGCAAGGCTACCTACGCCCTGCATCCCGACTCACACGGCCCCTTCATCACAGCTTGGTTGTTGCCATATGTAGCCCTCAAATGTATTTCTGGCTGTTTTTCACTCTATAAAAAGCATGTCACGCGTAAGTGGTATTTTGAGGCTGGCTTTTCAGTTGTCACATCCTGTGCGCTGTGCCGCGAGGTGGCTGGCTGTCCCACAAATGGCGGCCCTGAGAGCAGCCCACGTGCACTTGGCCTTGCCCCCAGAGGGCGCCCAGGCCTTGGGGGATTTGCTGTGCGGGTAGATTCACGGCTGCCCCCTCACCGTGTGCGCACAGCCCCAGGAGGCAGGCATCAGTTCCCCACTGCGGCCCTAACAAATCTCCGCTGACTTTATTTAGTGGCTTAAACAAAACGCACCCGTTGGCAGGTCTGCTGGACAGACCACCAGGGGTCTCCGTGGCTGCACCTGAAGGCGGCAGGGCTGCCCCTCCTCCTGGCAGGTGGAGGGGAGAGCTGCTCCCTCGCTGTCCTCCTCCCTCGGTGGCTCCTGGGTCTTTGGAGACATCAGTGGGGTACCTCCTGGACCTTCTTCCACAGTCACAGCCCCCGGTCACACTGGACCCCAGCTGACGTCGGCCCATCTCATCCTTTCCAGGGCAGTTGACCGGCGACCTTCCTCCTAGTCTGCCACGGAGCCCGAGCTGTTCCCAGGCTCCCAGGGTCAGGATGCGAGCATCTCGGGGCCATTACCCTGCCTGCCGCTGGTGGCGTTTCTGGGTCACACAGCTGGCACCCAGCAGCCGCAGCTCCCAGGTCCCACCTTCCCCAGCACAGCACCAGGGGCGTGGTGTGCTGCCACCGAGTGGGGTGGAGCCCCAGCGCTGGACTCCTGGGCCCGAGCTCCCCTGCACAGGGTGGCTGACCACGTGAGGAGGGAGTTTCCAGCTCACAGTCCCAAGGTGGCGGGGCCTGGGGGTCTGGGTGGTGGCCACTGGGGTATGCAGTCATGGGGACAGTCACAGCTGGGGCTGAGGTCCCAGCCAGGGGTGCCCTGGCCCTGATGCTGACTGGGGCACCAGCAGGCAGGCCAGTCCTCGTCTCACCCCCAGACCCACACTCAGTGCAGTGGGTGGCTCTGCTGGTGACCAGCCGATGGGAGACCAGGAAATCTCTCTCCTGCCAAGAACAAGGCCAGCCTGCTGGTCAGGACCTCTCCGGCCCTCCCAATAAAAGTCCAACCTCAGCCCGGGCTGGGTGGCTCAGCGGGTTGCAGCATCGTCCTGCACACCAAAAGGTTGCAGGTTCGATCCCCATATTCCCATCAGGGCACATGCCTCGGCTGTGGGTTTGGTCCTCGTAGAGGTATGTGTGGAAGACAACCAATCCACAGTGCTCTCATTGACGTTCTCTCCCTCCCTCCCTCCCTCCCTCTTTCTCTAAAGTCAATAAAATGTCCTCAGATGAGGATTAAAAAAAAAACCCAACCTCACCCCCCAGCCTCTCCCTTCTTTCCAGGAAACAGGATGAATCGGGCTGGGATGCAGGCAGGCTCCCAGCGAAGCACCTTCTGTTCCAGGACAGAAAGGGAGCGCGAGGATGAAGTAAACCCGCCACTGTCCGGCCACGCCGGCGGGAAGCCAGGCCAGCCGCTCCCCCCCCACCCCCCGCCCCCCCCAGCGAACGGCACGCACAGGGCAGAGTGAGAAAGGGCTGCGCCCTGTGCTCTGTTTTCTTCAGTCAGGTTTCGAAGGGGCGACAGGACTCCGACGTGATGCCTGACCACGCCGCTCGCTTCCAAGGGCAGGTGAGAGCACAAAACTGCAGGAGGAAGTCTTTTCGAGATCGCTCAGTCCTGCTCAATCCAGGGCTGCCATGGTGGCGGCCCGTCACGTTGGGCTGGAGACATGAACATCTCATCGTCACCGACTGGGGGCAGGACAGGCAGGCTCCTTGGGAGGCGTGCCCACTCCGGCTCTCCAGCCACCAGGGTCACCAAGAGTGCCAGGCCAGAAGGGACAGCCGGACCCAGAACCATGGGGATGGCCTTCAACCTCTGCCCTGCCCTGCAGGGGCGCACACCTGCTGGGCACCGGCCAGCACTGTGGGAACACACAGAGGACAAGGGGAAGACAGGCGAAGGGGAGGGCGAGGGGCCCGTGGATGATGGCAGAGCTGTTCAGCCTCGGCACTTGACCTTGGGGCCAGTAGCCTGTGCTATCCTAGGCCTTGCTGGGCAGAGGGCAGCATCAGCTACTAGCCGCCAACAGAGCATCCCCTCGAACCTGTGACACCAAAAATGTTTCCAGACGTCGCCAAATGTCCTTGAAGGCTGGTCGCCCCCATTGAGAACCACTGGAATTGGGGGGGGGGGGCAGGTGGGTCTGGTGAGGTGGGATTTGCAAGAAGGGCTGGTCCGGGAAGAGCTCAGTGGGGCTGCGCAGGACAGCGGCGGGGAGAGGAGGGTGCAGGTGGGGCCCCCTGTTCCCGGAGGCGAAGAGTGGAGCCTGGGGCTTCACTCTGGGAGGGCCGAGCGTCCGGGAAGAGAGAGGAGACGAACTTCATGT